AAGGCTCTAATAATGACTTCAACTACTTCAATAATGACTCTATCAATGGCTCCAACAATGGTTTTAATAATAGCTTTAACGTAGCTTTAAACAAAAAATATTCATATTAGAAAAAAAAATTATTTATATGATCGCCAATCTTAAACTTGATTGGCTGATCCTATTAGGATTACTGTGCAATGGGTTGCTATTTTATTTTTTTCTATTGCCAACCAAAAATAGTAAGTCAGTCACTAATCAAATCGAGATTTTGTAATTTACATTAGACTTAGTTAAAATGGAAGTGTACAAGGGTGATTTTGAACATAGGTTTATCCTCTTGAAACTTAAATTAGAACTAGATTATGACACTCTAGCACTTATATTGTCAATCTACAATAATTTTAACAAAATCATGGCTTGAGTTCTTTTACTTGAGCTCAAAACTGGAATGAAATAACCACAGATCCTACAGTCCATTGGAGAAACTGGAAAACAACTACAACTGTTCACGTATGTTGAAATAGTTGGAAAACCATGGCAGTCCTCAGTCTGTTAAGAATCAACTGGAAAAGCAAAGTCACGGGAGCAAAACAATTAACAAGTGAAGATCTTTCACTATGCATTAATCAGGGTAAAAGTGTTTAGTATAGCAGGTTATTTACTTAGGTACTTAAAGGTTGTATTGAGTCAATAGGGTAGTTTTTATTGGGGACTGATAATTGTAAGCAAATGGAACTTATTGTTCTCAGGCCTTCATGGCCTTTATTTATAATAAAGGATTTGGGTATTACAACAAGTTCAATAAATTTGATATATTCAATATATTCAATATATTAAATATTCAATATATTCGATATATTTGATATATCAGATATATTCGATATATTTAATATATTTGATATGTTTGATATACCAAAATAAACATAATAGATTGCACTTGATCCCATGTTCGTGGGTCGCACAGAGCTACAGTAGGTAATTTGGGTTTCTGGGCTCACACTATAATTAAATTAATAATTATTAGCTTAAAAAACAAAAAAAAGATTTTTTTATCTTAAAATGTGTTGCAGTGTTTTTCAATACCCCATGTACTTGTAGCACCAGAGTTGGATAGTGGTACGTACTCAAGTAATTAATGATCGGGTACGTGTTGATTGAAAATTGTAATCGGGATATGCATGAATAGTGTAATCGGCATGAACAATGTAGTACGTAATCAGAAGCGATTAGTATTGCATGAACAATGCAGTAATCAGAAGCGATTAGTATTGCATGAATGATGTAGTAATCATTAGCGATTAGTATTAATATATAAGGCATTGATTCAAATAGGGGAAATGCCTAGCTTTGAGCTTTAGAACTTTGAATTATTCTTAGTGAATAAACTGTTATCTAAGTAATCATATTGTATTGGTGGTAGTATCTGGTACGATACACCATTCATCATATATTAGCCAAGCGAGTGAAGTTTGATAGTAAAGACCCACAGATACACGGTAGTATTAAGAAACTACGTGACAAAAAGTCATAGCAATTAAACCAGCATATTTAAAAAATAGCCCCAAACGAATTTATTTTTTTTTATTTTATGTTTATTTTATTCTGTGTTTTTGTTTTTATTTTTTATTTCAATATCTTTTTTATTTTGATTTTTTTTTTTTATTTTGATCTCTTTTTTTTTATTTCATTCTATTTTTTTATTTTAAGTTTTTTTTTTCTTTTGATTTATTATTTGTTATTTTTTATTATTACAAGTTTTGCCTTACGTATTATTTGAGTATTATAAAGATATTTATTGTAAATTCATCAATTACAAAATATAAGGCAGTATAAGAGCTAGGATAGGTTAAAGTTGGGTAAAATTTAAAATTTATTATAAAGCTGGGCTGATATATTTATACAAAGTTATGCAATAAACATTATACTAATATATAAATATCTTTATTCTCTAATAAAAACATGCTTGTAATAATTTGAAATAAAATAAATAGATTTTCTTGTTATACGTAATTTAAAATAAACTGTCTTTAAGTTGTTAGACAAATTAAATTTAGATAAGTTTTACTTTCTTATCCATATTATTATTTCATTTCTATAATTTTATCTTTACCTAATTTTTCCACAAGTTGTATGAAATACCTTTTTCAATCAGGTAAACTAGATCACGCCACCTTAAGCACAGCCTCAAAAATCAAAATCATTTTAGTTTTTCAAAAAAAAAATAAAAAAATTCAAAAAAATTATTAAGCGAAAGTATTTATCTATGCACTTTCAAAATTCTTTCTGCTACTGTAGTAAAAAAAAAAAAAAATTGAAATATTCTAAACATTAACGAAAATAAGGACTTCTGACACAACCAAGAAAATTTTATAAAGTCTTTTGTTCGGTACTTTATTCTCAAGAGAATAAAATTTTGCTGAGACCTACATTTATAAGCTTGTAATTTATTTTGTTTAAAAAATAATTGACACGAACATTTGAAATGGTTCAAATTCATTTTTATTGATTTAGTTACAACCCCACAAATAAATAAAATGCTACTGCAAATTGCTAATTAATAGTTTTTTTTTTTATTTTTTAATTCTAATACAATAATGTGCTCAAGTTTTCAAAAAGCACTTTCCCGAAAGAAAAAATAATTAGTCATTATTAAGTTCTTTCGGGAAAATAGCTTTTGGAAATCGTACAGCAACCCTGACACAATATTTAATTAGTAATGCTAAAATTAAATATTACTGAAACATCTGATAAAAATATGAAAACAATGATTCAGAATTGCGAAATGATGCTGGTATTTCCCAAAATGAAGAAGCAACAAAGAAACTTTCTACCTACTGTCAAGAAACTCAACAGAATACTACGGCAAATTGGAAACAAATGTTACTATTGTTGAGAGAGCAATTGCGGAGAAGCAATTCGATTTAGCTCCAATAGTAAATGTGAAGGGTTATAAATATTGTTCATTAAGGCTTAAGCACGTGAGTTAAGGTCACGATTTTGGTAGACGAGGATCGGGTCTTTACTAAATTAATCCCGATTTGGATTATACATGTAATTTAAGGATAACTTTAAGGGTATTTTAATAATGGCATTTGAGGTTAATAATGTTTATAACACAACAAGACATGTCTATATGTAGTAAACGGGTGGGTTGAGTATAGAGTAATAAGATCGTTTTAAGGATAATAATAGTGAGGACTTAATAGATAGGTCAGGGACTTAGACAACACGTAATAACAATTCAAGAAAAATAACAATATGAAGGAAATAAATAATAAAAATATAAGAAAAGAAAATAAAACATAATAAATAAAAACAGTTAACAATAGCATTCAAAATGTATTTAATCAAGTGAGAATTCGACTCTTATTTTCAACTCATTAAAAATATTGAAGTTTGAAGGAATTTTATTAATGATAAAAAATGGTCTTTAAATACTTTTCCCTTTCTATTACATTACTGCGCAAAGACTTCTAATTCCCTTCTTTTTAACCTTGGTAAGGCTTTCCTGGCCCTATTTCACAAGTTGCAACAACCCGTGTGGGAAAAGCCTCCTATTACTCATAATTATCAACTCAAATATTCGCTACAACTCTTGTTCTAAATATTTACTACAATTCTCTATTATAAATATTTGCTACAATTTCCTATGATAAATATTTACTACAATTCTCAGCTTTTCAAGCCGGGTGATTCATTATTACAATAAATAAATACTAGATAATAATAAATAAACAATCTACTATGCCTCTCTAAACCCTGTGTCACAGAACCCATGACATCCTCCCCTCCTTAACCTTGAGCTCCTGCTAAGGTTTCTTGAAGGAACTCTGAGAGTTCTTCAGCCCGAATCTCCTGGGCTTCTTCTATTAGCTTCTGAAAATCTTCTTTAGTCATTCTATACAAAGCATTGGCCGTGATAAACTGGTTCTTAAGAAGATTATAAAATCCTCGAGCCTGATACAGTTGGTAAGCTCGGGTGGCAATCCTCCAAACTTCTTTTCCTTTAGTGTCTTTAATTCTTTTTTGGAGCTCGTCTTGAACCACTGAGCTCCAGTCGATTCCTTTAGCATACCTAGCAAGTTCTTCCAAACAGTCTCCTAGGTAATAATATTGCTGTAGAAGACTCACTTGGTCACACCTTTCTCCAAGAATCATTTCACATAATATATCAAGCTTCTTACTCCAAGTTCCCTCAGGTACGGGTTCAGAGAGTCTGGTAGAGATAGCGATACGCCTTAAGTCACTTAAGTAACTATTCATAGCCCACGAGAAAGGATTAGCAATGATATCTTTAGAGAACAAAAGATGAGTGGGCTCTCCTTGAGCATTTAAGAAAAATATTTCTGTGGCCGTTATACGAACTTCGATCACGTCAGTACCTTTCATCATTCATCTTAGCTTCATAACATGGTTTAAAAATTGGGCGTTGACTTCTAATTGATTCATTGGAAAGATAAGTTGAGCAGAGTTAAGATTCAATCCAAGATCAATTGACTGGATATTTATAGAGAATGCAGTCTGTTATTATAGAGGGGCATTATATCTTTTTAACTAGTTTCCATGAATCCTCTTTTTAAGAACTTATTCGCTTTTGATAGGCTTATTATTTAAAATAAGCTTTATCGTTCTTAATTTATAAGATCCATTGCTACATACTTCATGTATGTAGTAGGGACCTGTAAACTTTGACTCAAGCTTGGCGCTATATGATGTATCTAGTGAAGTCTCATGTAGCATTACTTTATCACCAATTTGGTAAGTCTCGATCTGGTATTTCTGATCATGATGAGCCTTTTGTTTGTTTTGGGCTTTTCTAATATTTTCTTAGGCTTGGTTTCGGGCATCTCCAGGTTTCCTAGAACAGACTCAATTCTTCGGAAAAGATAATCTTGGGTCTCGGCTTCGGTAGTTGGCTCAGCTGGATATGTTATTACAACTGTCTCAACTGGTAATATAGCATCGCGGCCATAGACTAAGAAAAAGGGCTCATACCGGGTAGTATGGTGCTGGGTAGTTCAATAAGCGAACAAAGCCGTTGAGATAAATTCAGTCCATTTCCCATCATATTGTCCAATACATTTGGCCAGTACTTCACATAAAGTTCTATTAAATTTTTCTACCAATCCATTGGTTTGGGGATAGTAAGCAGTGGACATGCGACGGCGAACTTTCATCTGTTTACAAATAGCATCCACTAGTTTATTACAAAAGTGAGTACCCTGATCAGAGAGTAGCTCACGAGGACTTCCGTGGTGGCATATTATATCATCCAAAAGGAAAGAGGCAACAGATTCAGCATTAGCACTTTTAAGTGCACAGGCCTCCGGCCACTTGGTAAGATAATCCGTGGCTACAACTATATAACGATATCCTTCTGATGTTTCTGGAAGCGGACCTACAATATCGATACCAATCCGATCAAAGGGCTGACCTACTTTTATCGGATGCAATGGTTCTTGAGTCTTAGGCCTCCCTCATCTTTGACATGTGTCGCAAGCTCCAATATATCGTTTTATATCATTCCCCATCTGGGGCCAATAATACCTAATCATTATTCGTTGATAAGTTCCTTCATATCTAAAATGTCCGGCTAAGGGGTCAGCATGCACAGCATGTAGTATAGGTTTGATTTCATAAGGTTTTAGAACTCTTTGAGGCCTCTCAGAATCACGTGTGTTGATTTTATATAACAATTTACTTCAAACAAAGTAATGCCGGGTTTGTGTTTCAAGACTTTATCACTATAGTTAGGGGGTATCTTAGACCTGCTAAGATATTCTGTAAAAATTTTATACGTTTCTAAATCCATAAATGTCCGTCTAAATCAAAATGAGTTTTCTGTAATCAGCGTCGATATATTGTATTTAGAGAAAAAAATTTATATGATAGGCCTTTGGCCTGTAGCCTTAAATTCGAGACAAATTATCGGCGTTAAAATGTAATTTTCCTGACTTATGAATAGTAGTGAACGAATACTCCTGCAAGGTCAGGATCTACCTGGCTAGTCTGTTTTGGGGTAACTGGTGAGAAAATAATAATTTTAACACCAAATGGTCAGTATAAAGGGTAAAATGAGATCTGTGAAGATAAGGCCTAAAGTACGAGACTGCCCAGACTACAGCAAGACATTCTTTCTCAGTGATGGCATAATTTCTTTCCGCTAGTATTAAAGAATGGCTTGCATATGCCACAACTCTTTCCTTGTGGTTAGCATCTAGTTGCGAAAGTATGGCCCCTAAGGCTAGGTCTGAAGCGTCTGTAAAAAGAATAAATGACCTAGTGAAATCTGGATAAGCTAGTATAGGAGCAATTACCAATTTTTCCTTGAGCTTCTCAAATGCTTCTTGTTGCTTTGGTGTCCATGTTCTTTTTTAACAAGGCATTTAGTGGCCCGGAAATATTGGTGAACCTGGGAACAAATTGTCGGTAGTAGGATACCAACCCCAAAAACCCCCATAATTGCCCCAGGTTCCTCGGCGTAGAGAATTCTTGGACAGCCCGAATTTTATCAGAGTCTGTTGATATACCTTGGGCACTTACAACGTACCCTAGAAATTTAAGTTTCCTTTTACAAAGAAAACACTTTTGAGGCTTAATCTTTAAATTAGCCTTCCTTAATCTCTCTAATACCTCTCGTAAATGGTCCAAATGTTTCTCAAAGAATTTGAAATAAACATTCAAGTCGTCAAGATATACAACAACAAACTTTCCAATTATATCACTAAAGATCTGATCCATCAAACTTTGGAAAGTTGCTAGGGCGTTTATAAGACCGAAAGGCATTATGTTAAACTCAAAAATGCCTTGGGGAGAAATAAAAGTGATCTTGGGTTTATCTTCTTCTAACATTTCAACTTGCCAGTATCCACTGGCAAGATCCAACGTAGTAAACCACAACGATCCATTTAAGGAGTCCGAAAGCTCATCTACTCTTGGTAATGGATAATTATCCCTTATGGTGATAGCATTGAGTTTTCGGTAATCTATACAAAGACGCATCTTTTGGGCCTTTTGTTTCACGAGAACTACAGATGACGTCCAGGGACTTTTGGAAGGTCTAATAATATTTTTAGCTAACATAGCCCTTACTTCTTCTTTTAAAAATTCTTTTTCGGCTAAGAATATCGATACGGACATTGTCTAATTGGCCAGACGTCTCTGGTGAGAATTTGATGACAAATAACACTACTTCTTCCCAATTCGTTAAGGCTTTGGGCACTGAGATCGGAGTACTCGTCTAGTAGTAGTCATAGTTGACTTTGTCGATCTTCGTCCAAACTTCCAATCATATATTCTATCCCTATTGGTCTTTCGTTTTCGTAATAATAATCAAAAAGATTGGAAGTAGTCGTAAATTCCTTCAACTGAGAATCTAAATACGTTACTGGCTATAGGCCTTGATAATTGTCCTTTTTCTTATTTTCTTGATTCTTATCTTCTTCTTCATACAATAATTCACTATCACTATAATCTATCTATTTTTCAAATTCTTTATTATCTCTCTTACTATTATCTTCTTCTATCAACTTTTCTATTTCTGAATAAGCGAACAGTTGTTTCTCCAATTCTTCATCTTCATATTCTTCACTCGAATCTTCTTTGTTATTGTCTTCGTCATTCTCATTTCTAATTTCTTTAACTACTACTAGCTGTTCCTTATTCAATGGAACTCTAGACATTTTTCTAAATTCAATAGGAATTGTGATTTCCTTATTGTCCCAAAAAACAGTCATTTCATATGAATTCCAGTCAATGGCTGCATTTACTTTAGCAAGCCAATCTTTTCCAACAATCGCACAGTAGAAGTTGGCGTCAGTTACAATTATATCAATAGAGATTTCAATCCCTCCAATATTGAATAGGAAATTTGAAATTTCACTAATAGCCCGTTTACTTTTCTTATGGATATTGATCATATTCACCACTGAAGGCCTTTCAATCTGAATTCCTAACTCATTAAGTAAATAAGATGCGACAACACTCCCAGATGATCCACTATCAACTATGAGGAGAATGTTTTTACTACGAACAGCAGCATCACAATACAAGGCAGTTGACTTCAACATAGACTATACATTAACATTACCCTGAATCCTTCTTCTGATAACGGTCCTTTTCTTTTGCAAGGATCGAGTTAATTCTTGCCGAATATTAGGCACAGCTCTTAACAATTGGCCATACGTAATGTTGGCAGCTTTATCCCTTATATCTGCGACTATGGAATAGGGGGTGACCAAAGAGGAGATTTGGGGCAGTTCTTCTTCTACATTCTTTTTTCTTTGAACCGGAGCTCGTTTTGGTGGTGCCTTTAGACTATTCTTTTTACTCAGCTCTGTTTCAGGTGATAGTTCAGGGTCTTCATCTCGATCCCTTTGGACATCAGCCATGTCTTCATCTGGGTTTTTTACTCCTTCAGTTTCTACTAATCCTGTGGAAGTGCCCAGAACTTGTCTGTTCTTCTTTTTTCGGAGAATTGGAGTATTAACAATGGGTCTCTTGCGGACTTGTCGTTCTGCCAAGAGGAATAAAGCTTCATCACCCTCTGGTACACCCAGATATGAAGACTGATTCTGAGAGCTATCAGAATTATTATTCAATAGGGCCAATAAGGCCTGAAGGGCATCTTGAGAGCTCAGACCATTAACGGTCAGGCATTCTGGACAGGAGTTGTTTGGGCAGGAGTAATTTGAGGTGGGGTAGTTGGTACCACAGAGTTATTATTAATAGGGGCTAATAAATTAGGACATTGTCGAGCTATATGGCCAGGGCATCCACAATTATAGCAAACTATTCCCTGGGTTTGGTTTGCAGGTGCTCCCGGTTGCCGGGGTCAGAAAGGCCTTCTGGGCTCTTGTCATCCTATTTATGGCTTCAGTTAGTTGATTCAGGCAATCTTTGGTCCCATTTACACCAGTATTTGGTGTTGGTATTGTTCTAATAATACTAGGAAAACTGTAAGAGGGATAGGCTACAGGCTGTCCCAAAAGAGCAGCGTAGGTGGGGCTTTGCTTGTAGGCGTTTTCATATGCCTTTGCTCTAGAATATGCGTCTTCAAGGGTATTAGAGGTCAATGGAGATACAGCCATGAAAAGTTCAGGTCGGAGCCTATTAATAAACATTTGGGCTTTAGCTGTATCGGGATATTGATGTTCTCCAGATTCTACTTGTCGAATCATTTCTTCTAGGATAGTGTGATAATTGTCTACACTTTCTCCCAGTAGTTGTTTCATTTGTGTTAACTGAGCAAACCATTTTCTCTCCAAATCTGGGGTTCGAAATTTAGCCACGAAGTGGGTAATAAAACTTTGTTGAGGTACCAACGGATCGTGCTATCTGTCAATGACAGGCTGTTGGTTTCTTCGAGTTGCCCACCAAGTCACAGCTGGGCCTTTAAGCTTTGGAATAATCACTGAGATTTTCTGAAGACGAGGTATAAGATTGGCTTTAAAAGCCTTCTCAACATCCTCTAGCCAAGTTATCAGATCCTGGTCCCCTCCATAGAACTCCGGATACGGTATAGTGTTAAGTTCTCGAGGATTTCCAGTGACATTAATTTGCAGCGGCTGAGTGAGTTGTATTTGCTGAATTAAAGCAGCAATCTGGTTTGCCAAATTGTGCATTGGATTGTTTAGATTAAGAACGGGTTGTTGGGATTGTGGAGGTTGTTGAGGTGGTTGGGCCATCTGTAAATATATAGTATAAATATATATAATGGATCAAAATTTTCTTTTTTATTGTTCAGCTCCACACAATCGGCACTAAATGTTACTATTGTTGGGAGAGCAATTGTGGCAAGCGATTCGATTTAGCTCCAATAGTAAATGTGAAGGGTTATAAATATCGTTCATTAAGGCTTAAGCACGTGAGTTAAGGTTACGATTTTGGTAGACGAGGATCGGGTCCTTACTAAATTAATCCCAATTTGGATTATGCACGTAATTTAAGGATAACTTTAAGGGTATTTTAATAATGGCGTTTGAGGTTAATAATGTTTATG